ATAAAACCTGAGTTGGTTGTTGTAAAATGTTTTTTTGATTTCTTGAAAGAATTCATCTATGGAAAATGCAAACTACCTCGCTAGTATGGTTAGATGTCTAATTGAGACGGCTTTTAAGTTTTGTTCTCAAGATAATAGTTGAGTTGCAAACATGAGCTTAGTTCGATGGTAGAGTTTGAATGGTAGAGTTTGAATCCCTCGCCCTACGTGGGATGTAATATTTGAAGAAAAATGTTAGTTTAGGTGTGCACATGTCTCCATACTTTTTCATGGTGCAAATCATTTCTTAAATTTAGCATCTCAACCTAGTTGAGTCCTGCCTTATCTTCCCTTCGTCTTCCCATGCTTTATTATTATTGTTGTTGTTGTTGTTGTTGTTTTAATGAAAAGTTTGTTTCCTCTAAAATAATTGCATCTTGTTTAAAATTGCCCTATCTTGGGTGAGAAATAAGTTAAAACTAACTATTTATTACCAAAATCTTTCATTTAAAGTTTGGACAATGAATGTTGAGAAAATATGTTCGACTTCAATGCAACTTTCTTGTTAATGATCAATCGAAGCTTAAGACTCTCAACTCAAAATGAATTTCTGACTTCATCTTAAAATGATCGCTAACTCTGTTGTCTTTCTCTCAAACAAAGTAAAATGATCACTAAAGTTTGAGTTGGAAGGTAAACTAGGAAGACAGAAGAGATTGGAAAGTCTGTTTTCTTTTTTGGACGTGCTGTAATTCTCTTTTATGTAGATGTTATTTTACATTTAACTTAATAACAGTGGAGAGATTGATTGATTCTTGCCAAGTGGTTAATAAATTGACGTGGTTAGTTTCTAGCACTCTTATAATTGCTTGTTCAACTTTGGTGGAAGTTATATATATATATTTTTTCAGCTGAATCTTGCTTTCTTCCATGTCAGGGACTAAAATCACCCTTCAAATATATTACTTTTGAAGATGGGATTTCTCATCTTGAAGCAAGATATCCGGCTATATTGTTTAAACAGCAATTAACTGCTTGTGTGGAGAAGATATTTGGCATGATTCGTGATAATTTGAAGAAAGAATTGTCTCCTTTGTTGAGCTCATGTATTCAGGTCACTGCTCTGTCCCTGAATGATAAACATGATAATTTTTGCATTACGGGCTAGTGAAAGAATAAACGAGAAAAGGCTTTCTCTAGCTCACCAGCCTTTTTAGGATCATGAACCCACTTGGTGAAATATGAACTTGGAGCTAGTTTAAACACGAGTTGAGTTTTATGTTGACTAAAAAGCGCTAATTTGGAGTTCATATCATCTTATTTATTTCAAGAATGGTTCATGGGTTGCTTGGCTTTTGCTGGTTTTATTTTATGATATTTTATAACACTATTCATAGATAAATTGGATTATCTTTGTGCTCTTTGCCACTGAAAAAGTATACTTGTTCTCTCAAATTGTATTTTGTTCAATTTGTTTGTACGTTTCCCTCAATTCAACGTTTTTAATTGTCTGCATTTTTAATTTTTTTTCATGCCGAAATAAAAGTTTGCATGGAATGTTTTTGAGAGTAGATTTGAAATGAATACTTTTCTTACTAGCACAAAAGTGATTGTTAAATGCTTAAAATTACTTCTGGTTTTTCTTTTCTTTATCCTATATTTATGGTATTTTTTGCATGCATATTTTGCGGTCTTAATACATGGACCCAGTTTCTTTTCTTTTCTTTTCTTTTCTTATATAAATTCACTATATTCTTTGACATATCGTCTTTGGGGACAGCCAATGCATAGTTTCCATCTCGTTTATTCTCGTTGTGTTTATTTTAATTTCTAGAATTTTATTTTTCAAAGTCGTTAGGCAAAGGTATTGCATAACATAACATTTTTTGTTTATTTGTCAGGCGCCCAAAGCTGCACGAGTACATGCTGGGAAGTCCTCTAAATCGCCTGGTGTTCCTCAGCCATCTACAAGTAGTCCATGGGACAACATAATAAAGTTTTTGGATTCTTTGATGAGTCAATTACGTGAGAATCATGTATGTCTTTGAAATAATCATCGTGGTGTTTGATTTGTTTTATTTTTAAACTAGAAACAAACATTTTATCTTAGAAGAAGTTCTAGAATACAAGTGAAGATAACAAGCAACCGAACCAAAAAAGGATAGAATGCTAATGTACAAATGATCTAAACTTCACGTGTGAATCATGTATGTCTTTGAAATAAACCTGAAATGCTTACTTTTGAGGACCTTTTCAGTTTCGTTTCTAGCGTTAATACACAACAAATATTCAACTTAATATTTAAACTTTTATGTGAAGGGATGGACAAATGTGAACTTACTAGTCATGAATTTTCTTACTTGAAAAATTCTTTGTCAGGTGCCGTCTTTCTTCATTCGTAAATTGATCACTCAGGTGTTCTCGTTCATCAATATTTCTCTTTTTAACAGGTATGTGATTTCATTTTTTGGTCCCCTTCAAGGCTGTGACAAATTGTTTATTAAACTTGGATGTGAGGCTTTGTTTGTTTTGTTTTGAAGCCTTCTTCTACGACGTGAATGTTGCACGTTTTCAAATGGGGAGTATGTGAAATCTGGTTTAGCTGAACTAGAGAAGTGGATTGGCAATGCAACAGATGAGGTAGTACATATATATATTATAGTCTGGGTTGACACGATAATTTCTCGTCCGAAATTTAACGCTGAACTTATTTTTTGAATGGAAATTGTAGTATTCAGGGACCTCTTGGCATGAACTAAACTATATAAGGCAATCTGTCGGGTTTCTGGTATATATGCTTCCTGGACTCCCTTTTTCTCTAGTCGTAGGACTGAGGCTAATTTCAATGCCATTTTACATTATATGTAGGTAATACATCAGAAGAGAAAGAAATCACTTGAAGAGATAAGACAGGATCTTTGCCCTGTATGGTCTTTACTCTTATTCGTTTGTCTCACTTATTTATTGACTCGTCAAAATTTTTATTTTTATCGTCCGATCTCAAGGAATCATTTCTATTGGAATTCGGGTTTTCTTATGTATGAGTACTGAACGCAGGCATTGACTGTGAGACAAATTTACCGCATTAGTACTATGTATTGGGATGACAAATACGGCACTCAGAGTGTGTCAAACGAGGCAAGTGTTATCTCCCATTTGTAGTTTCTTGGTGAATTTACTTTCTTGGCGAACTATGTAATTGATATGGCATGGCTTTAGGTGGTTGCTCAAATGAGGGAAATTCTGAACGAGGACAATCAGAACTTAACCTCAAATTCATTTTTGTTGGATGATGATCTAAGGTAACTTTCTTACTAAATTTGAGTCATTTCTCTCCTAAAAGCTTGGATTTTTTATGAACGGAGTTAGTTTCTTCCTGTTTCTCTTAATATTACATTAATAATTCTTGTAATCATTATATGTTGATTGCAGCATCCCATTCTCTACTGAAGACATTGATATGGCTCTTCCCCCTATCGAACCTTCAGACATCGAACTTCCCAGTTTCCTGTCCGAATACACCTGTGCACAATTCCTCACCGAGCAGCAAAAGTAGTCAGTTAGCTTACCACACACGAACAAACGATCATTCTGACGGAATCTCATCCTTTACCCACCTGGGTTCGACTAATTGTTTCAATACACAGCGCAAGTAAATCTTCTTTTTCTCTACTTGATATGATCTTTTGTTATATCGTCAAAAGCCTCACTGCTTATGCCTGTGAGATCTGTTCGAGTCACGCATGCTTTGAATCTGAGGTCGAGATTTGTCGATTGAGAAGCAAGGAAAGCCGATTTCCAACATCGCTCAAGCATTGTGCAGATGAAGAGACTGGTCTCTTTTCTCCATTCATTCGATTTAAGTAGCTGGTACTATACAGAAGTAGGAAATGGATAGTGCTAGGAAGGATTCCATTGATGTGCAGCTGACTGATTTTTTTGAATTTGTAAATGTTTTCACTTTGAATCCATTCGTTGTATTATGATGCTGAAAACAGCACGGTATGTAAATATATGTAAACCTATGACCCTCCCAAGCTTCAGATTGAGACATTGTTAGGTTCTAATGTTAGATTTTGAACATTTGCTAAATGTTCAATCAGTGTAACCTCTGAACGCTTTTTTTTCAAATGTTCCTTTAGTTTTAATAAGTTTTTCTAAGGTTGATATTTTCTTCGGGTTTATATATAATTTTTTTTATTATTATTATTAGGTGCGAGATAAAACCTTTACAAAAAAAACTACGAATAATTTATGTTCTTGAGTATCTAATACCCAAGTCAGATGAACGATTTGCATATCGTTGTGGATCTCCACCCACTAGAGTTTCCTTTGGCTTTGCCCTACTCAGCATAATTTACCGTCTTTTGGGTCTCATTATGTATGTTCACACTCAAGCATTCTCAAAAGATTAAGGTTTGTCGATGGTGCAATCCATAAAGGGATTCTACCAGCAAGCTTTCTGAACGATTTGCATATCGTTGTAGACCTCCACCCACTAGAGTTTCCTTTGGCTTCGCCCCCCTAGCATAATTTACCGTCTTTTGGGTCTCATTATATATGTTCACACTCAAGCATTCTCAAAAGATTAAGATTTGTTGATGGTGCAATCCATAAAGGGATTCTACCAACAAGCTTTCTTGTGTGTTACGGGTTTACTTGCACATGTCATGTGAATGGTCTGTGTTTCAAGAAGGGTTAAATGTTTATATATTAAATTAGAAGGGTTAAATGTTTATATATTAAATTAGAAGCTGAGTACTTAATTAATCGATGTATTCTCATCAAATTTAATTTAACTTGTGATTGGTTTGGTTTTAACATATTTCTATCAAGAATTTTGGTAATTGATAGTTCAATCTAGGATCCCATAATTATTGTTCTTGGTACTTGTATTTTCATTTTAGTCCACTGGCTCAATGTTCTTCACGTACTCTAAAGATTGGACATTGACAATCCTTCGTGATTCGTTTCCGATTTGCCCAAGTTTTTGCCCAATAATCTGTAATTTTCTTTATAACTTTATCCGAAAAAGAAACTCAGATCTTTCCATTTTCCATGCAAATTCTATAAACGAACAGACGTTGATTCGATGATCAAACAGCTATTCTTTTTTGCTTTTCAATTTACATAAAATAAAAAATTAAAAAAAAAACGACAACAACAACAAAACAGAGTTGCAGCAGAATTAAGCTCGATGATAATTTGAACGAGGACGAGTTATTTGGGAGAGGCCGATTTGATGAAAGGTCAAGTTAGTCTTGATGGTGATTCGCTTCCATGGGGCCATGGAAAACTCTTACCCTACGCTACTGTATATTGGCCAAGGAGTATGATCGCCAAGTGGGAAATTTACAGAGAAGAGGAACTGCGGAACCTGAATTGCTACGAGATGCTCGTCCGTTGGGGTGCAATGGAGGACGAATCGTCGGAGACAATCTCGAATTCAGGACGTCGCCGCTTTTCCTTTCAGAACTGCTCATGAACACGGCCAACGCTAACGAGCTTCCTCGTGAACTAATGATCGGCCGCTTCGATATGCCGCCGGCGATTAGATTAGATGCAAGAAGATTTCTCCGTTTCCGAGAGAAGGCGTTTTCAGGTTTCGCTATGTCTTTTATGGACGAAGTAGAGGAAGCGTCTCCCAGGCTCGTGAACGATTTCGATTTTCCGTTGTAGAAATTTGAAATTCCTCTCCTGCAAATTCATAAGTTGATCTAATTTGTTAAAATTGAACGGAATCTCATCGTTAAAATATTCAGAAACGAAATCGCCGATCAAGTTGCCCTAAATCTAGAAAACTTGGAGAAGAAGATTACGAAAAATAAAAAACAAATTACAATCGCTAACCTGATAGACAAAACTTCCTCCAACGATTCCATTCCTAGAGATTCTTTATACGAACTTTCCGCCTCATTATCCTCTCCATCATCATCATTCACCGATCTAACAGAGAAATCACTATTTTCTCCGATCGACGACGATGAAGACGAACTACATCTATCCACCACCTCCGCCGGCGCCACCACATCACCAACAACAGCCTCTCGTCGAACTACCGGAATAACTCCCGTCGTATTCAAGACGGAGCAGTACGACGGCAAGACACCTTGCGAGAAAACGGACGGCGGAATCCTGCTATTGCTCTCCAAAGCAATTGACATGACTGAGTAATTCAAATCCAAAGGTATGAACCGAAATAAACCAAAACGTGTTGAAAGCTAAGTGGGAGGATATGATGCTTATATCAATGGAGGAAGAAGATCACCATGGAAATGCAAATCAGAAACAGAAACTGAGATTATACAGTGGAGAGAGATTGGGCAAAGAAGATCAGACAACAATTTAAACATAAAAATTATGGATTCTGAAACAATTAATGAACGTAAACAATAAAATCATCTTCGATCAGCGAGTTGATGAAAAGGATAAAGAATTCAGAAAAGGAAAGCCGAAGGCCTTATCCACACCTGCCGGCCTTTCATAAATCCCATTATTTTTTTTTATAAATTTTAATATTATTTATCTTTTACCCGCTGCCTGCGCCTCCACCACACTTTCATGTACCACTACCACTCTGACCATTCTACCCTTTTCCTTTCTTTCTATTTTCTTAAATTAACACATATATTTCTAACTTAATAGTTTATTGTGTAACTAAAAAAAATTAATACTCTTGACTAATTTAAAAACTTTTGTTTAATATAATTATCGTTTAAATTCTTGACATTTTCTCAAATTAAAATAAATAAATAAACAAAAGTCAACGATGTAAAATTTGTAAGCATCTGATTGGAAGAGAGAAAAAGCGTAGTGTGGATCTTTGATCCAGGAGATAATTTGGGCAGACAATGTGTTTTATAAAAAAGATAGTGCCACGTAGGCAGATAGGAAAATTAACGGTCTGGGAAGAGGACACGTTGAAGATCGTGGTCGGTCACTGTGACAAGGAGAGAGAGAGAGAGAGGAGAGAGAAGGAGGGTTCTTGAAATTGGATTGGGTGGACTGACGTGGCAATGACTAACCAAAGAAAGTTTCGGTAAGCCTTATCCCAAATATGGCCGTGACGAAAATTGTGGGCCCCACGCGTAACTCCACCATCCGCTTTCTTCGAGGTTCTTCCATTCCCACACGGCCACGACGACACTGCCAGCTGTCCGTTCTCGATTTTTTTTAATTTATCTATTAAATTTCTCATTTTTTATTTTTTATTTAATAAATATTAATATTTAATTAGTGTATTAAATTAAAATTTATAGTCCTTTAAAACGCTAAATACGTTTAATAAACTCATTAAAAAAAAAAAAACTCTCAATTTTGTTTTGAAAACTCAATAATTTTGTAAAATAGACTCAAATTTAATATTTAATTTAAAATTTGAAAATTAATTAGAGGGCCCGATATATGTGGGCCCATCGAGAAAACTTGGATGAAGAATATTGGACCACGTGTCAAAGGTTTCAGTCTAATCAATAATTTCTTCATGGGCAGACCGGTCGTTGTCACCTCCACGTAGGAAGCTGTTGGAAAATTATCCAACACCCCAACATTTTTTTTTTTTTTTTTTTATGGTTTTAATTTAACTGAAAAAAAAAAGGAATAAATAAAACAAGAATATTACTTTAGGAAAAAAAATATATAATAATTAAATTTATACATTAATCTTTAATTAAAAAAAAAGTATCTATTATTTCTCACATGTCAGATTAATAAAAAACAAAATTATTCTCAAAATAATTCTTTATCTCTAAATTTCAATAAGTTATTAAATTTTAAAAAGTATTTAACATATTTTTAATTTATAATTTTGCATTTAAAAGAAATATTGATTTTACATCTTTAAACTTTTATTATTGAATCAAATTAATACATAAAGTGAAATTAATTAAAATTTTAAAAATTTATCCGATATTTATTAGATTTTTACTTATTAAACATAAGGATTTTTTTTTTTTAATATGGTAATAAAAATTTAATGTTTTATTAGACCATTTTAAAAATATGAAAACTTTTTATTTAATTTCTTTAACAAAAAATATGATATTGTCTATTTTATATACCTAAACTATTATAGATACGGTTTAAATCTAGGGATGGTCGTGAGTTAGTCCCAACGAAGTGGTTGTGTACAGTCCAAGTCCACTGTTAGGAAATATTGGGTTGATCATGAGCTAGTCTCAATGCTTGTCGATGAAGTGGTTGTGTAACATCTCAAAGCCACCGCTATAAAATATTGTCTGCTTCGGTTCATAACGTATCGTCACCACCCTCACGATTTTAAAACACGTATGCTAAGGAGAGGCTTTCACACCGTTATAAAAAATGTTTCATTTCTCTCTCTAACTAATGTGAGATCTCACAAATCGTCAGAATCGGGGCTGCTAATTCGCTAGGGTTGGGTAGAACCATTCTAACTTCCACATTTAGTGGTAGAACCGACATCAACGCCCCACGATAGTGAGCCAATGTTGGCATTCGAAAAACTCAACTAAAATTAGTGAATTATACTTAATTATTGTTAAAATTAGTGGGTTAATTAATTATTTTAGAAATTAATAGCAAAATTAAATTGTATGAAATTAAAATTTTCAGAAAAAAAAAAAGCACAAAAAATATGGAAAATGAAAAATAATTAAATCAGATCCCACACAAGAAACGCTTAACGACACGGTTGAATTCTGCAGGGGACTCAATATGCGGCACGTGCGAGGTCTCCTTCATCACCTCCAGCCTTGTCTTTTCCCCGAGAATCCTACCCCACACATTTATAACTTAGCCCACCAAAATTTCAACAAAATTATATCACTAATTAATTAAAAAAAAAAAAAAAAAAAAAAAAAAACTCACTCTTTCAGCTCCTTAGCCATTTCCAAGGGAAATAACTGGTCATGATCTCCCCATATTATCAATACCTCCTGCATGTCGATCCCGAACATAAACCACTTCAAATTTATTATTAATTTTAATATAAATACGACGCGCTCGAACGAGCTAACCTTCGACCTACCTGAAAGAGTGGAGAGAGGTCGATGGTATCTTCCCGCCCAAGAGTGAGCGACTTGAGGAGTTCGATCTTTTCCTTCCTCTTTTCCATGTACAATTTCTAGATTTATTTAAACATGTTATTAATTAATTCATTTCATACACTAATTTTCTGAATTTATAAATATAATCTACAATAATTTGGGAAAAATAAATAAATTTCAGCAAAAAAAAAAAAAAAAAAAAAAAGTCAAAACAATTTAACTGCATACACAGTTATATTTATTTATTTAATTTGTCTTTTTTTTAAAGGTCAAACCAGACGTCACCTAATAAATAAAGCTTTTAAATTATTGAGAAAATAATGGGAGGTTTTTTCTTACCTACCATTATTTACCACCCTCTCACTTTTAAATAATATCTCTAACTATAAAATTACTATGATTTTTCGAGATTAATAATATAACTTAAACTGGCTGACTAGCCAAATCATTAAAAAACTAGCAGATGAAATTATAATTATATAATTATATACTCAATAATTAATAAATATAATTAATCCTTTCGTTTATTTGATTTAAATATATAAAATATCTTATTAAATTTTAATAATATTTTTATGAGAGAAAAAAAAATAAACAAATAAATAGATTAAAGAAATATTTAAAATAAAATAATAAAATAATATAAACGAATTTTGTCCTTACATGGATGAAATCGTTCAAGAAGAAGTCCGGCATCCGTCTGCCCACTCCCTTGAATACAGCAAGCTTCATTAACGTCCGTAACTGTTCCGCCGTCATCGGCAGCAAGAATTCATCGATATTCTCCACGTTAGCTCTTTTCAACATCGCGTCGTTATCTTTCCGTCTCATATTAACGCCGGAGCTCGCGATTACAACTTTCTCGATCCTCTCCGGCCAAATCCTCGCCATGTGATACGCCACAAATCCGCCGTAGCTCGTTCCCATCACCGAGTATTTCTTCACTCCGATCTTCTCCAGAAGCTTTCCGATCGAGATCGCCTGAAAAACCTCAGTCCTCTCCGCTGATTTGGTCATCGAACCGCCGAAGAAGACGAGGTCGGGAACGTAGACGTCGAAATCATCGGCGAGGAATTGGACTTGTGGACGCCATTGCCAAATCGCCATCGGGCCGAAGCCGTGGAGGAGGAGGAGGGAGGGTTTCGCGTTGGATTTACTGGGCTTAGGGCCCCAAAAGGAAAGAGTCGTTTCGGCGTCGATGTCTATGGCTTGCTGCGTAAGGCCCGCGGCGGTGAAGCAGCGGCGGAGATAGCCGCCGTACAAGGATACGAGGCTGAGAAACGACGGCCACATTGAATTGATTTGGGCGGCGCCGATTATAGCGTGAGTTCTTAGGAGCGGAACGGCGAATCTTTTCCAATTCCACTAACCTTTATTATCATAATGAAACCACGTTAGAAACATTGCCCATTATATATCCTTTATTAATGCCATGCTAATCCAAAATTTTAATAATATTTATTCCATTTTTCTTCAAACTATGATTTAAATTATCATATAAAAAAAACTATTAAATTAAGAGTTTAATTTATACCCATTAAATTTGTGTTTATTTAGTCCCAACGCTTAGAATTTTGTGTTAATTTAAAAAAATACAGAATTTAGGATAATAATATTTTCTCGAGATTAAATAGATCTCATTTCACCTATTGATGACCTACCTTGGAAAATAATTTTTCTTTTAACTTCATAAACTTTATATGAAGATCATTTAGTAGCCAACTACCAAACTCAGCGATTAATTATGGGCACATATTTTCCATATACAAACCAACCATATAATAAATGAAATCGTTGAATCTTTTGTAGGTGGGGACAGAGAAGCTTTTCTCGTCCCGTCTCTACCTCTTATTTTAATCTTCGTTCGTGTAAAATTTTTTTTTTTTTTTTTTTTTTTTGCAATAATCAAAGCAGGATTTTTGGTAAAGAATTTGCGGGCATCGAGTTCCCTCCAATAATTTGTATTTAATATATTTAAAAAAATTAATTTGGTTATGAATCATTTTTATTTTTTTTAATATAGTTTCTGGTGAATTCAATAATATGTCATAAATAAAAATATAATATAATGTTCAATATAATTTTTATAATTTAAATTTCGACCTAATAAGTCCGGAAGTTTAAGAGACATTTTTTTTTAATAAAAATAAAGAAAATATTATGTTAAATTAAGATCTGTGATTTTTTAAATGTCTAGATTTATTAAAAGTAAAATTGGAGGTTTAATATTTTAAAATTGTAGAGAATATTGAACACAAAATAAAAATAAATTAATTAATTATAAGAAATATTATAAAATTAAGATATGTATTTAATAGGAATTAACTTATGATTTTACCAAAAATTTTGAATGAAAGCCATGGAATCATGTTTGAAATTACAATACTATCCCCGAATTTAACACTTTCCCACGCGCGCGTGGACATTTCTCGATACTCATCCGTAGATCTCCACAATTTTCAGATCAGGAACTCTATTCCTCCAGGGTTCAGACCGGCGGATTTCAGATCAAATCGAAGTCATCTGAGTAAATAATTGCGACGATTTCAGAATTAAGATCGGAGATTGATAGATAACCATGTCGAGCGCCGTCTTGGTCGCACGCTCTAGCTCCTGGTCTCGTGCTCTCATCAACATCTCTCCGTACACCTTCTCTGCCGTCGGCATCGCCATCGCCATCGGCGTTTCCGTCCTCGGCGCCGCCTGGTGCTGTTCTGAACCTATCTTGTTACGTACTCTTTGTGTTTCTCTTAATGAATGTTTATTTTGATAATTTCCTTGCGGTGTTGCGAATTTGGTAGGGGGATTTACATCACGGGAAGCAGTTTGATTGGTGCGGCGATCAAAGCTCCTCGTATTACTTCCAAGAACTTGATTAGGTGAAGACCTTTAGTTGATGAATTGTTAATTTTCCCATTGAATCGATTGCTACTTTTAAGATGGTCGGGTCGGGATATAGAATTTGGGATTCTTATTGCTTAATTCTTGGATTGATACAACCGAGAACGATTAAACTTGTAAGGTTTTATGAATTTCTTTTAGTTTTGAATCAATTAGAACATAGTTGAGCACGAGTCTAGTGTTTTTTGGGGAAAAAAATTGTTGAATGTAATAGTGTAAATTCCTTCTAGCGTCTGCCTCTACCAGCTCGAATGATCCAACAAGTTCCATTGCCGACGTTAAGCATTAAGCTACATTTTTCTGGTGATTACTTTGATTATAACAACTTGAATGTTGCGTTCTTTCAGCGTTATTTTCTGTGAAGCTGTTGCTATATACGGTGTTATTGTTGCCATTATCTTACAGACCAAGTTAGAGAGTGTGTCAGCATCTCAAATCTATGCCCCTGAGTCTCTAAGAGCAGGATATGCAATTTTTGCATCTGGAATCATAGTTGGCTTTGCTAACCTTGTCTGCGGGTTTGATGGCTTCCCCTTTACTTTTTTTTTCAATAAAAATTCTTAAATTTGGCACTTTAAGATTCTTTTACTTCTCATTTTGATTGTTTGTTTTGAATCTCTTCTGATGCTTTGTTTGAAGGCTTTGTGTTGGAATCATTGGAAGCAGCTGTGCATTATCAGATGCCCAAAACTCCTCCCTCTTCGTGAAGATTCTTGTAATCGAGATCTTTGGCAGTGCACTTGGGTTGTTCGGAGTGATCGTCGGGATAATTATGTCAGCTCAAGCCTCTTGGCCTGCAAAGACAGGTTGATGATCTGCCTCTCGGATTTCAAACACGAAATGTTGAAGTTCAATCATTATGGAGCCAGGGTAACTTGTTTTTCTACTCTTAAGCTCTGCAGTTTGCCCCTTCAATAGATATATGATATTCATGTATAATCTAGAGTGGGAAGTGTATATGCATCTTTTAATTATCTGGGCATCATTCCTCTTCCCTTGGAGAACCATTTCAATCATTCTGATGTTGTTTCTAAATACTTCTTTTTCACTCATTCTGTTCTGGTTCTTTGAAACACTGGAAATATTGAATAATTCGCAGGAGGAAGCCAATGTAGTAGGATTGCTTCCTTTCCCGACGTGTATAACGTATTTTCCTGCAAAATCTGCCTGTCTTTGTTTCATGAATCTTTTTTGATCCAATAATAGTCTTGATATTCATCGTTTCTTTACTGGATAATACTCTCCCGATTGAAGATCATCTCTTGATCTTTTTAGCTAGATCCAATCCAATCAGTTGTTTGTAACATGGCTTCCTTATAATTGAATTGATGCAACATCTGTGTAGCTGCTGTGCAATTTAGAACTTGAGACAGAATTCTCATTTGGTTATGTGGATTTGAAGATGAATTCTGTCATATAGGGGAGTTATTAGGCTTTTTAACCTTACAATGTATTGAGTACAATTAAATGTGACCCGAGAGACACTTCCGACCCGAAATCTTATGATGTAATGAATGTCTTCTAAGTTATGAATGCATTTAAGCTTTGGCCTTTTGGACTTTCTTGACCATGTAGACTTCCTGGTCGTATCAATCAATTGAGGAACATGGTTGAAGAAAGGAATGTTTTTCTGTTGGAGTTCTAGGCAGTTCTCTGGTGTAGCTACCCTCAGCTTGAAGGGCCTGCAGTCAGGCAGAACCCAACATTGCTTTAGCCTATCCTTGTACCTAGAATGCAGAACTTTTTTAGCAGATAGGCAGCCGAATGGATCGATATTCTCGAGTCGTGAGGAGTTGTGAGATGAGCTGCATCACATACTAGTACCACATTGTCCCAACCTAGTTGTTCCAATGGATTTCTATCATATATAACATCGATGAAAGGCTCTTTTGTTTCTTTAATGACTCTTACAATCTCAAGAACCCAACTGTAACAGCCCATTTGTTTCTTTAATGACTCTTACAATCTCAAGAATCCAACTGTAACAGCCCAAGCCCTAGTAGATATTGTCTTTTTGGGCTTTCCCTCAAGGTTTTTAAAACGCGTCTGCTAGGGAGAGTTTCCACACCCATATAAAGAATGTTTCGTTTTCTTTCTCAATTGATGTGAGATTTCACACAAACCTTCTCTATTTGTTTGTGCATCTTCCTCACTATCTCATCTTGTACTCTTACTGTCACCAGGTTACCCTACATTTGTTTTTCTCACTGTGTCAACCGACACAAACTAAAAGATTATATTATTGTATAGAGCTTTACTCGGATAAAGGTCTACATCATAAGCTCATTTAGGCAAGCAACTACTTCTGACCTGTGACTCTGGTTGAATGATATACCAAATCCAGTTGATCATTTTCTTTGGAAGCTCGTAGAGCACCATGCGTGAGTAGCGGATTCTAAGTCAAATCAAGAACTACTCTCCAAGCACAATGAACAGAACAATTTCCTTCTATTAGCCGTTAACAAATCGACTATTTATTTATTTTTATTTTGTAAAAAACAATATTTAAGGTTGAGAGAGAACTTCAACGAAGTCACGTGGGGATTAGATTATCTATCCATATCCAATAATCATACTTAAGGTTTGAAATCGATGAGTATAAAATATCATTATATAAATAAATCTAAAATATAAAATTATTGTTCAAAAATACTAAAAATAATTATTATTTATGTACATTTTTTTTTTTAGTTACTAAATTACTAAAACTTCAAATTTAAACTGAGTTTGGCTTACAGTCATCTAAAAAAAACTAAATGGAAATTTATTTTGTATCGAACAAGAATATCAATATTAGGGATCAAGATTAAAAATCTGAATATAGAACGGGAGTGAAAATGTGAAGAAAGATTTCTTACCGAGTTAGGACAAGAATATATGAAAGTTTTGCTTGGGGATAAAATGGGCCGAAATAAACGTTTGGGTGAAGGCCCACCAATAAACGTTTGGGCAAAGGCCCACCATAAACGTTTGGGCGAAGGCCCACCAATAAACGTTTGGGCGAAGGCCCACCAATAAACGTTTGGGCGAAGGCCCACCAATAAACGTTTGGGCGAAGGCCCACCAATAAACGTTTGGGTGAAGGCCCAATTGACCGTATCGGAGAAGGAGGGACGATTCCTAGTTTTATAATCATTTCCAATTTATACGATCGAGCGGTTTTACTTCGTCTCCGCCAAAGAAATTTCTGTGCGTCTCTCTCCCTCTGAAACTTCCTTCTTCTTTTGTTTTTCTTCATTGAAAAGCAATGGTGGCGGGGCGCGAAGTACCAATTTCGCTCGACGAAGTGAGGGATAAGAACTTGATGCAGCTCAAGAAGCTCAATACAGCCCTCTTCCCTGTTCGCTATAACGAGAAGTACTACGCCGATGTCCTTGCCTCCGGCGACTTCACTAAGCTAGGTCTCATGCTTCTTCTATCCACTTCATTTTCTCTTCTTTCCTTCTCCGTCGTTTCTCTCTTCATCCATTCTTGTTGTTTCTCGCCTGATTCCCCCAATGATCTTTTTGGATTTAGCTACTAGCTATTTGGGAATAGAGAAGAATGTTTGTGGGGTGTCTAGCATTGATTATTTGATTTTAGTTCGATTAGTTGGTGGCTTTTGAAGTATTAAAAACACTTTGAACTGTGGATTTGGCATTCGTTTTTCTGATCACTTGCTCTTTGCGACATTATATATAGTACAGGATTTTGAATTTCTATTCATTACTTCAAAAGCCTAATTACTGTTCGTTATGCGAAAGGGATGAGAGAAAACTATTGGAGGAGGAAAAATAACCCATTGGTCACTGTGGGTAGTTTTTTTTTTCAGATCCTTGAAGCTGTCCGGTGGATGGACTATGATTTTGATTGCTGTTGTGATCATGCGCTGTCAATTTTTGTTTCTTTTATTGTGTGGAAGGGGTTCTGTCCTTGATTTGTTTCTAATTGCGGGTTTTTTCTATTTATTTGTTTATTTTCTCTTGCTGGTTTGATCATGCAGAACCACTAAGAACTTCGTTTGGTTCATTGGATATCCATTTTTGAGTTTCTTCGTCATTGTATTTCTCCTGTTTCCAGCTACTTTTCTAAATGGAGGTCTTGTTGGAATGGATGTTTTGATCTTTCTTCAAAGATAATTGGAATGATCCTCATATTATTTCACTATTACAGTTGATTATTACACTCGGAGTTTGATATGAATGATTTCTGAAACAATCTCCACTCTAATTGCATTATCTTAATTCACTTTCTTTGTCTATCATTTTGTCAATGCTTCTCCCACGGCCCATCAAACGCATTGTGCATTTCCAATTTAGACTCATTGCAAACTTGCATGTTTATGCAAAAAATAAACTAGGAAAAAGCAAAATCTGTTTTCCTTTTAAAATCTCTGGCTTGGCATTTTAGTAGTTTGATGGCTAGTAGACCTGCAGATTGCAGCATGCCTAATCCAGTTTATTCTCAAAGGTTGAATGTATCTTCAGAAATAAGATTATCCTGTTTTTTTCATTAAAACCAAAGGGAAAACTATCCTGTTATTCTTGTGTCATACTTAAAAGCTGAATCAGTGTAATGGTTAATAATTACTTCATCTATCTTATTACAATGAATGTATTAGTAGTATTTCCAAAGGCTAAAACTATGTATTTCTATTGATTTTGCAGCATACTACAGTGACATATGTGTTGGGTCCATTGCATGTCGTCTTGAGAAGAAAGATCATGGATCTGTTCGTGTCTACATCATGACCCTGGGTGTTCTAGCACCGTACCGTGGACTAGGCATCGGTAAGTATCGACTTCAAATCTCTTATGAGATTCTTTTTTTAAAATAGGAGATAGGGTATATTAAAAATAAAAAAGAAAAGAGGTGACAACCTTATGGCCAATGAAGAGAAAACCCGTATCGTGATAAGGCTTATCGTACGTTGATATGCAGCTTCCATCTGAATTAATATATATATATATATATTTAACCGTAATCACCAAACAGCTTCTTGTGAAGGGCTCTCCAACTTCATGCAATATATTGTACAAAGTTCACCGAAAGGTTCATGAGGTTTTTCTCTATCTTGAACCATCCTTCCGTTTCTTCCTAGCCAAAGATTCCATTAGAAATCTCTAATAGTACAGTTTTGATACACTTTAGCTTTGATACAATCTTACAGCCACCAACTATAGAGAGCTTTAGGAAGCCAAAATTCAAGCTTATCTGGAAAAATACAAAGAAGGTATTTCAAAATTCTAAACTGAAGAGAGTTTCCTCTAGCAGTAAAAGGCAATGCAAAAATAGATGATCATGAGTTTCCTCTTCTTAGAGTCCCAGAATGCAAGTGTTTTAGGGGATGGGCCGGCTAGGCAGTAGGCCACCAAGGGAATATTTCATTCTTTGGGATTTTTCCTTTACAGATCTGATTAGCTGAAAGTATCTTCAACTTTTGTGACATTGAGAACTGTTCACAAAGTTGACTTAACTTCAAAGTTCTCAATTTTATCTCGGGGCTGAACCGTCCATCTGTGAAGATCTGAGTATCACTGAGTTCACTTTTTCTTTAAGAAGGATTCAACATTCAAAGTTCTTTGTAAAATAAATAGATTTCTTCCCAGATGCAAATCCCTGTTATAACTGTTGTCATTCCAACTACTGTAATTACTGCTTGTTTATTGTCATTCCAACTATTGCAGTTCTGGATCTTCCATCACAAATCTTTCTGTTGAAGTCCATATTTCCTGCTAATGACCCTCCAAGAGCATTTTCCTCATTAGTAAATCTCCTCCTCCATTTAACTAGGAGAAGGTTGTTCCTTTCTTTCAAAGCCCTATAACTAGGCAGCCAAAAGAGAGCAACCATTTTCTAACTAACTGGATGGCTGTCCTGATCTTGGTTGGCACCGATCTTAAAGAACTCCTTTTCTAGTATTCTCCAAGCATTTTACCATCTTTTAGGAACTTCTAATATCTGTTAGCAATGTCAGATCATTGTTCCCTAGGTTATTTGACATTTGCTAGTAATCGTGACTAGAATAACCGAATAATAAAATAACGTTAACTGGCACAAGGCGTGCAAATATAAGTATCGTAGTGGGTCAAAGGGCCCATATATGTGTGTGTATATACATTTATATTCTGTAAAAGCTTTCAATTGAAATGAGAAGTCTTCATTCTTTTAGTTGGTTTTTTTTTTTTTTATGTTCTTGGTTTTATGCAGGTAGTAAACTGTTAAATCACGTACTTGATCTCTGCTCAAAGCAAAACATTCCTGAAATCTATTTGCATGTTCAGACGAATAATGATGACGCCATCAAATTCTATACGAAATTCGGGTTTGAGATTACAGAAACCATTCAGAACTATTACGCAAACATTACCCCGCCAGATTGCTATGTTCTTACCAAGTTAATCACTCAAACTCAGACCAAGAAGTAACCTTCCAACTTGAGTTCATTCCTGAGCTGTGTCCTACAAAATTGTTTTGAACCCTCCTTTAACTCCCTATGAATTTAGCTAGTCAATTCAGGTTGAGATCCAATACCGTTGGAGCTAGAGGGCTTTTGACATGCAAATTTTGTCCCATCTGGTAATTGAGTAAATCTTTCTGTGTGCTTCTTGAGGATGTTTAGAACAAGTTAAATCTATTTATTGCCTTGTCATTGATGGTTTCTTTTGCCCTTAATATGAAATGTTGGCATTGTTTGATTAGGACACTGTTTTAATATTCTGGAGTAGAAAGGTTCTAATATTTTTGGCATTCAAAAGTTTAGGTGGTTAGGTAAGAGTTGAATTAGCTATTCAATTATCGATTTGAAGGTGTTTATTCATTGATTCCTGTGAAGATAGTCAATTGGTATCAGTGCTATTGCTGCCCAATCACTTAATTATGCATTCATGATTAGTAGAAAGGGATTGAAGGTGGTGGTGTACTGTTGTTAAACTCCTTTTACGAATTCGTCTGAACAGTGCCCGACCGAATTCCTTGGAGATAATGAGACCGTCACAATGTGATGGGTAATCTTTCACTGTTGGATTATGAAATTAAGTGGTTATTAGGAGACATGTAGATTTTTGAATCAATGTCTTATAGTTATTATGAAACAACCACACTTTTGAACACTATGATCAGATCCTTTTATTAGTATCCATACTTGTATCAAGATTAATAGATGTTTTTTTAATGCTTTATATGTATTTATAAAAAAATATATATAATTGATTGATTAATCCTTAATATTGAGGTTGTGTAACGGCTCAAGTCCACCACTAGTAGATATTGTCCTCTTTGAATTTTTTCTTTCGGGCTTCCTCTCAAGGTTTTTAAACCGCATCTAGTAAGGACAGGTTTCCACTCTTATAAAGAATGTGTTGTTCTCTTTTCCAACCGACGTAGGATCTCAAAAGTTGAATTCTTCAATCTACCAATAGAATTCTATAAACCTAACTTTTGTCTTTGGCCGTTTCTCATTAGTCAAGAATTGATATTTCTCATTAGTCAAGAATTGATGTGGAAGGGTTGGAATATTTGTGCCATAATTGGCATATTCTACGTATACACCGTAAGAATCACTTCATCAATCATGCTTTAAGACAAGCATTTTGGCTTTATATGTTGTAATAAAGTTTCGTTGAATCCTACTCGATATCAAAAGTCTTCTTCCACCCCATCTTTTTGGTGCCATGTTCAAGACCAAAAAATTCTCGATGACATAGTTATCGCTCTGATACTGACCATCTCTCACTTGAACTCAGTTCGAACGGCAATGACACGGCAATGACATTATGTTACCTCTCATTCTCTTTTCTTTGGCTGTCTTCCTCACAGGTCTGAAGGCAAACCCTCTAAATAACTTATTTTCAAAGCTCAATTTAAATACCCAACCAAGAACATTGGTCCAATTCAATTCTTTAGGTCTAACAGCTAATTACAAGTCAACCGGCTGTTATAGGAGTAGTAGTCTCTAGCATCGTTTTGGCTTTGAGCCGAATTACTAACTCTCGAGAAAGTTTAATAAACTAATATCAATATATATCTTTTTAAAAGAACGGCATATAGAAGATTTATAGGTTACGTTGTATTAATGTAGTCGAACACTTCGTTTCGTAGTCAGGTTGCTTTAGCGTTCATAAGTTAAAAAACTCAAGTACTTTCAATGTATAATGTCTTTTAACTTCAAGAATTGTCTAAACCCTAAACCCTAAACTCTAATTTTATGTATAATAAATTGATTAATTTAAAAAAAAATATATTGTTTGACCCATTTAAAAAAAAAAATGTTTATTAGACATAAAAGTTTAGAATTCATAAAAGTGTGTTTTGATTTTCTTTATTTATTTTATTATTATTATTATTATTATTTTGGAGCACGAATGCAATTGCCATTTTATGATCCGATCACGTGACCACTTTCATTGTCAAATTTGCTTTTGGCTGCCCATGTGAATGCATGCGACTTACACAATTTACACGAATTTTCTATTTTTTTTTCATAAATTACAACATTTTTTTTTTAGCATAATTAATAAATTTTGACTTTTTATTTAATGCGTAACAAAATTTTAATTTTGTATTTAGTAAATTTTAAAAAATAATTATTAAATATGTTATTTCTAATAGAAAGCTTTTTAATTGTGTGCGTAGTAAATTCGATAATATTTATATTAAAAAAATCCTATTAATCTTAATTTGGGATTTAATAGATACCATATTAATGTGTATATTTATTTCATACATATATTAATTTACTTACCTTAAATTCCAATTTCTAACAATTATGTTGGAATAATGTTCAATTGTCCATTAAAAAAACCATATAAAAAAATATTTTTTAAAGAATATAAAATGTGAAATTTCTCGAGAACTCGATCCTACAAATTTTGGAAAGTATCATTTTAATCCCTGCAAAAATTGAAATAGGTGACGGAAACGAGGATGAGGAAATTCACGTCCCCTTTGGGATTCATATATAAGACGTGTGGGCGGGATTCTTATATATATATATATATTTTTTTTAAAAAAAAATACAATTAATAAGAAAATTAGACTGTAATTTGTGGTGGGATTCAGATTTGAGAAGGCGAAAAGAACATAAGAAATTAGAGGTGTGTGTCAATGGCGGAAACTGAACACAATGGACTTCATCTTCCTCTGCTTGATGAACATTCATTTCAAACCCTGCAAAAATCCACAGAAAATTCCATTAAGAAAAGTCCACAAAAAATCCCCAAAATTCAAAAATCTCCAAACCACTCACTCCCGAAATTCAATGTTCACGAGCGACACAGATCCTTGAACAATGGATTTATACGCCGTCGTCGACAACACCATCGTCGTATCCCCTCTCGTCGGCTTCGTCACCGTCGAAATCGCACGATCCACGATGGTGAGCTGAATAATCTGATCTGGAACGCACGACTTCGGCACATCGGCAGAGAAGCACCTCACTTGGTACTGTCTTCCACAAGCCGCTCCGTTCTCCCATATTCCTTCTCCGGCCGCCGCGAACAGGTTGCTCGCCGGAAACACCGACGTATCTTTTCCGGCACAGGCGGTGGCTGTGTCAAATTTCATTCATTCATTCATTCATTCATCACCGCCGTGAAACGAAGAAATTCAAAAATTAAGAACATTAATGCGAACTCACGTAGATAAGGAGCGGTGTAGAATGTAGCAGTGCCGAGGTCTCCATGACAGAATTGGAAGAGGTGAGCGGTGAAGAAGGCGGAGAAAAGGAATCCAGAGAGGAACAGAGGATTCGACATGTCGTTCTGTTCCTTATGAACAAAAACCTGTTCTTCACGATTTATCTGATCCCACCCAATTCTAATTCATTTTGTTCTTTCATAATTTTTTGAAATATATACTAAAATTCAAATTTAGATTTAGGACTTGCCAAACATAACGGCGAACAAAATTTCGATAATCAAGGAAAAAATTTAAAAAAAAAAAAAACAATTAATTTTTTGGATTTTCCTTTCTTTGAAATGAACATAAATAGAATTAGGCCGATTATCTGGCTTGGTCTGTGGTCCCCATACATAATAATGCCAAGTCGACCATGATTACTGATTACCATACATAATCTAGAGGTACCCGATTGAAGAGGGAACAAAATGGCTCGGTTTGTAATCCTCACACATAATAATGTCACATCGACCATGATTACATGACATTACAATCATGAATACATAATCTAGAAGTACTTGTTACCTCGATTGAAGAGGGGAAGGAAATATTTCTTATAAGTATATGGAAATCTCTCCGCAGTAGACGCGTTTTATAAAATCATGTTTTAAAATTGTGAAGCTAACAATGATATGTAATGAATTAAAACAGCTTGAATTGTTACAATTTATAAATTTTTTTATACTTCTATTTCTAACCGATATAAGATTTATAATATAATCTTAATAGCTATAATGATAAAGTAGATAACAATCGTATATGCATATAACATTTCTTTCTTTCTTTTCCTTAAACGAATAACAAATCTGTAAAATGACGTATACGATGATTCTTTCTTTCTTTTTTTCTTTTCTGTAAATGGAAACATGTAGAGATTTGCTGACCTTAATAGAGATAGTAGCGGAAATCATCGAGAGGACTTTAGGGCAAATTTCGGAAGGGAAAACGTGGCAAAAGTTGTAATTTTTAATTTTGTAAGGGTTATTTGACAATTAGAAGGGTTTTATGGAGGGATTTGTTAAGCGTAAAAGAGATGGCTAAAGGAAGGAAAGTAAAGGTCTTTGGTTATTTGCTTCAAAGCAATGTATTTTCATTAGCGTATAAGAGAGAGTGATGTAGAGAATAACAAAAGAAGCTATCTATATGAATGGATGCATTTCTGGGTCTTCTTGTTTTGGGGTTCTCCGGATTAAAATCTGGTCTTCGACTCTTGGTTGGAGAGAAGAACGAAGAATGCATTCTAAGGGTTTGGAAACTTCTCCCTAGTAGACAGGTTTTAAAAACTGTGAAGTTTGATGGTGATATGTAACGGGTCAAAACGAACCATATCTGCAAGTTCTAAGCCCAAGGGCCAGACTAATATGGAATCAAATCAACTCAAGGGAAAATATGGAATGGATTACTTTTATGATCAATATCAAGATTAAAAAAAACTCATTTCTAAACTCGGGATTCAAATCACCACGAGGTTTGATCAATACTACTTGAATAACTCTATCATGCAAGTTCTAAACACAAGAATTTGCAAATAAAATATTAGCTCTCAACAAAGCTAACAAATTGTGAGATCTCTAATCAGAGAAAATAAGCTTTTAAGTCCCAAATTAAATAGATTAATTAATAAGAAATACTCATAACCTCCATATTAAAATAATTAGGTAACGGTGAAATATGATAACTTATCTGGGTTACAATATAACCTTTGACTCCGATATTAAAAACTAGCTTAAATATGACAAACAAATATTTAATTATAATTAAATAGCGTAAGGAATAAAAGGTACTTATTAATAGTCCTTGGATTAGTTCCATAAATTTAGATGAGTTCATTAAATGTAAGTTAAAATGTATTTAATACATCTCAAGTCTGCACAACATATAAGGGGTCTCTAACGTCTTCTAGAATTTCATTTGATGAGCTTACCATAGGTTGAATATAAGTGTACAAGGTTTATTGTAGCTTATTGGCGCTCGTTCTTGTAATTGGTCGTGGTTCATATCACAAACACCAAGCGATACGCCACCAAAGACACTGGTCCCTTAAGTGGGTGGATTATTAGATCTCACATCGGTTGGAGATGAGAAAGAAGCATTTCTTAAAAGAGTGTGAAAACTTTTTGCTAATAAATGTGTTTTAAAAATTGTGAGGCTCACGACATAACGAATCAAGGTGAACAATATCTATTAGTGGTGGGTTTAGGTTAAAAAACACAATCGCCTCAATTGAAAGACTTCTTGCGTTTAGTCAATCTATGCAAAGTGCATCGGTCCCTAAGAAACCCTGAAAGCATTACCGTTCGATGGGTACACGAAAGTGACGAAGTTACTTTAGTACAAAATCATGCTTATCTCTCAGAGTGAATAGGATGATCGGGCTGAGCGCAGCCTCTCTTCATGGAACAGAATCTAAATAATTAATTAATTAATTTAAAAAGACACAGCTATATAATGAGAATGTAAGGGTTCGACATTCACAAAGTTTTTGGCCATTAATGGCCCTATCACTTTCCCTTTCCTTTATCTAAATCATTGAAGGCATCGCCTCTTCTAAGCTTCTAATTGGATCACACGCCCAATTATCAGTGCTTTCTTATTATATAAAACTTTAACCATATTTATTTATTTATTTATTTATTATAAAATTGAACATTATAAATTACCAAAAAAACAAAATTGGAAACTAATTTAAAAGATTAGAAACCATCCACTATATTTTATGAAAAAATAAAAAAAAAATAAAAAAAAATAGAAGACCACGACAAAAATAAATAAATAAATAAAAAGCCATATTCGAACAGCTTATCGTCACAATCCAAGTCCAGCCCCCAAGTTATAAGCCATCGAATCCCCAGCTCGTTTCAGAATCAACAAAAATAATTTCCCCCAAAACCAAAGGAAAAAGATGAGCCTGATTGTCCCACTGCCATCAAACCTCCTCCCAGATCCGGCGAACCCGGAATGGATGAGCAAAGGCGACAACGCCTGGCAGATGACTGCGGCGACATTGGTGGGCCTGCAAAGCGTGCCAGGTCTGATAATCCTATACGGTGGGGCGGTGAAGAAGAAATGGGCCATAAACTCAGCCTTCATGGCGCTGTACGCCTTTGCGTGCGTGCTGGTGTGTTGGGTGGGGTGGGGGTACCGGCTGTCGTTTGGGGATAGGTTGTTGCCGTTTTGGGGGAAGCTGAATGTGGCGTTGGACCAGCAGTTTCTGCTGGAGCAGGCGTTTAGTGGGAAGCTGCCATCGGCGACAATGGTGTTCTTTCAGTTCGTATTTGCGGCGATTACTCTGGTTTTGATTGCTGGGGCATTGCTTGGGCGGATGAACTTCTACGCTTGGATGCTGTTCGTGCCGCTTTGGCTTACGTTTTCGTATACGTTTGTGGCGTTTAGTATTTGGAGTCCTAATGGTTTTTTCTTTAAGATGGGACTCATTGATTACTCCGGTGGCTACGTCATTCATTTGTCGTCTGGCGTTGCCGGCTTCACCGCTGCATATTGGGTACCTAACATAATAATAATCATATATTTATATATATAACCTCTAAAATATTCTTAAATTTTCAATATTATTTTTAAATTACTCTTCAATTTTAAAAATATTAATACTCCCAACATTTATTTTAAAAAAATTACTATCGAAATGGTTTATTACCTTCCATAAAAATAAAAATAAAAATATCTTTTTTTTCTTAAAATTGATATTAATTTTGAAATTTAATTGGTATATTTTGAAACGTACTATGAGATAATCTTTAAACGTTTTTTAATTAATTTTTATAAAAATTTAAGGATATTAAAATGAAATTTTGAAAACTCAAATTATTTTTTATACCAATTATTAACGTTTACGTCTAAAATCATTATATTTTTTAAAATATTTTTAAAAGTTTAAAGGTATTATTTAAATTTATTATTTTTTTAATATAAAAAACTGACAAATTGGTAATTTATTAGACAATTTTTATATTTAAGATTTTTTAGACATGAACTAAAAGTTAGAATTAAAGTCGCATTATAAATTATAAGTTAGTCCATAAAATTTGGTTTATGTCTATTTAATTTAAAAAATGTCTTAAATAATTTGGTTTATGTCTATTTAATTTAAAAAATGTCTTAAATCTTAATTTTGGGTTAAATATGTACCTTATTTAAAAATGTTATAAATTTTTAATTTTGTCTGAGTCAATAACCAATATTTTTTAAAAAAATTGTGATTATATTAAACTAAAAACATAAAAATTTTAAGTCATTTAAAAATTTGAAGGATAATTTTACTAAATTATAAATTAAAGTGGATGAGTTTTAGTGTGTAAATTGAAAAGGAAAATGTGTTCGTCAGGTTGGGCCACGGCTGTCCAAAGACAGAGAAAGCTTCCCTCCAAACAACATTCTTCTAATGTTGGCCGGAGCAGGGCTGCTGTGGATGGGCTGGACCGGGTTCAACGGTGGAGACCCGTACGCCGCCAACATCGACGCCTCACTGGCAGTTCTGAACACCCACGTGTGCACCGCCACCAGCCTCCTCACTTGGCTCATCTTCGACATAGTCTTCTTCCGAAAGCCCTCCGTCATCGGCGCCGTCCAGGGCATGATCACCGGCCTCGTTTGCATCACCCCCGCCGCAGGTCCCTCCCTTATTAACCCCCCACCATCTTTTTTACCCTCTCTCTCTGTAATTAATTTTAACTTACGTAAATTTTTCGACTTTGGAAGCAATGTAAAATTTTGTGAACATCAAATCCAGGAGTTGTTCAAGGATGGGCGGCGATTATAATGGGCTTGCTATCAGGATCCATCCCATGGTTCACAATGATGGTGGTTCACAAGAAATCCGCCATCCTCCAAAAGGTGGACGACACAATGGCCGTGTTCCACACCCACGCCATCGCCGGCAGCCTAGGCGGCATTTTAAGCGGCATCTTCGCCGAGCCACGCCTCAACTTCGTCTACTACGGCGCCTACAACAAGTACGTTGGCCTTTTCTACGGCTTCAACTCAAAGCAAGTCAAGCTCGGCTTCCGCCAACTCGGCGTCCAGCTCCTTGGTATCCTCTTCGTCACCCTCATAAACATTATCGTCACTAGCCTTATATGCGTCCTCCTCCAATACATTGTGCCGCTCCGAATGTCCGAGGAGGACATGGCCATTGGCGACGAGGCCGCCCACGGTGAAGAGG